GACATTGTTTTAGGCATTCCATGGCTTAAGAAGCATAACCCGAGCATCGATTGGCAATCGGGATACATCTCATTCGACAGATGTACATGTGCGGAAACATACGACGAATACGAAATGCGTCGACAGAAGTCTGCCCAACGAAACGAGCGCAGCAAACAGTCCCGAAGCAAGAGGACTAGAGTGTCAGTCACGGGCGTCGCCCCAGACACTACGGAACAATCACCAGACATGTCCGACCAAGAATTGAAGGACTATGTGATGATCAAACATGAGAAGCTGTACGCAACCAGCGATGAACCCAGGATTCCGGAGGAATACCAGGAGTTTACGGATGTTTTTACGGCACCGGCCGATGGAGTGTTACCGAAACATGGATCCTTTGATCACGAGATCAACACTATGGAAGGCACTGAACCAACTTTCATGCCTATCTATCAGTTGTCACAGAAGGAGTCCGACACACTCAAGGAATACATCCAGGAGAACCTACGAAAAGGATACATCCGAGTCTCGAAGTCAGCGGCTGGATATCCTATCATCTTCGTACCAAAGAAGGACGGGAGTCTTCGACTTTGTGTGGATTACCGACATTTAAATTCGATTACCATCAAAGATCGACACCCACTACCTTTGATCAACGAAATGCAAGACAGGATTGGACATGCCAAGTACTTTTCGAAGTATGACATTACCAATGCCTACCATCGCATCAGGATCAAGCCAGGCCATGAATGGAAAACGGCATTCAGAACCAAGTTCGGACATTACGAATATAAGGTTATGCCTTTCGGCCTCACCAACGCACCAGCAACATTCCAACGCTTCATCTTCAAAGCGATTGAGGAATATTTGGACATCTTCGTTGTCGCATATCTGGACGACATCTTGGTCTTCTCAGAGACACTCGAAGATCACATCAAACACAACAGACTTGTGTTGCAGAAGCTGAGAGAAGCAGAAGTCACTCTCAAACTGAAGAAATGCGAATTCCACGTTCAGGAAACGACTTTCCTCGGATACCGCATTACCCCTGAAGGACTAGGGATGGAAGAAGACAAGGTCAAAAGCATTATGGAATGGCCGACACCCAAAAATGTGAAGGAAGTACAACAATTTCTTGGTCTAGCCAATTATTATCGGAAGATCATCGATGGATACGCCGGAGTCGCATCAGGACTCTACCATCTCACCAAGAAAGATCAGAAATTCATATGGGATGAGGCAGCAGACAAATCGTTCCAGGACCTCAAGAAACTCTTCAACAAAGGAACAATCGTGGCTACGTTTAGCTACGACCGACCAATCATCATGGAAACCGATGCATCAGACTATGCTCTGGGAGCAAGACTGACGCAACCGGGAACTGACGGCAAGCACCGACCAGTTGCATTTTGGTCAAGGAAAATGGTTCCAGCAGAACTCAACTACGATGTGCACGACAAGGAATTATTGGCTATAGTGTCAGCATTCCAAGTCTGGAGAGCATATCTAGAAGGAGCAAAGTATACGGTGACGGTCAAGACCGATCACAAGAATCTCACATTCTTCACCACGACGAAGAAGTTGACGAGACGACAAGCGCGATGGGCCGAAACCCTTGCACAATACGATTTTAAAATCGAACACTGCAAAGGAACAGAAAACGGACAAGCCGACGCTTTAAGCAGACGACCAGATTACGAATTAGGAACCAAGGCAGCGGATCCTGCTGTATTGAGACAAAACTCTGATGGTACTATTTCGTACAACAAACAGTTACTGGCCGCAACGATAGAAGTCAAGGATGACGACTTCTTGCAGAAAATCAAAGACGCATTGGAGGAAGATACGATCAATCAACTCGTCGAGAAGGGTGGAAAACTCACCAAGGACGACCAAGGATTGCTCCATATGCATGGATTGATATATGTTCCAAACAAGCTGAGAGAAGAGGTCATACGTCGACACCACGATGACATCTCACATGGACATATGGGAGTGGAAAAAACCATCGAACACATCACGCGAAATTATTATTTTCCGAACATGTGGCGAAAGGTTCGATTCTACATCCGCGTTTGCGACACGTGCCAACGAAACAAACCTGCACGACACGCACCTTACGGAGAATTACAGTTATCTGAAACACCAACCCAGCCATGGGAATGGATCACGATGGACTTCATCACGAAGTTACCAGTTTCAGATGGACACGACATGATTATGGTTATAGTCGATAGGCTCACCAAGTACGCCTACATGATTCCGACTACAGAAACCATTGATGCTGATCAAATGGCGAACATTGTGCTTCGACATGTGGTTGCGAACCACGGAATGCCGAGCAAGATCACATCAGACAGAGACAAGTTGTTCACATCGAACATGTGGAAGTCTTTTGCGGACCAGATGGGTATTGAGCTTAGACTCTCTACCGCATACCACCCGCAAACCAACGGTCAGACAGAAAGAGTGAATCAGACAGTGAAACAGTACCTGCGACACTACGTGAACTACCAGCAAGACAACTGGGCAGGACTGCTACCAACAGCACAGCTGGCATACAACAATGCAGCACACTCTACGACCAACGAAACACCATTCTTTGCGAATTATGGATATAATCCAATGGTGTTTGGAGAACCAATCAACAAGACAGCCGTGGCAGAATCAGCGAGACTGAAGGCCAGCGGACTGAGAAAATTGCACACGCAACTAGCCAGAGACATTGACTTTGTCAATCTGCGCATGAAGAAATATTACGACAACCACCATGGAGAGGGACCTGACCTTGAGGAGGGAGAAAAGGTTTACCTATTGCGACGCAACATCAAAACCAAGCGACCCAGCAACAAATTGGACCACCTACGACTAGGACCGTTCAAGATTGAGGAAAAATTGGGACCAGTAAATTATCGCTTGAAGCTACCCGAAAGCATGCAAAAACTCCATGCAGTGTTTCATATCTCGTTACTCGAACCAGCACCAGACAACGCCGAAATTGCAACCAATGTGGAAATCGAGGAAACCGAAGACGAATATGAAGTCGAACGAATCCTGTCGGACAGATGGTACAACAGTCAGCAACAACTCTTAGTTCAGTGGAAAGGGTATCCTACCTCAGAAAACACATGGGAACCTATCCAGAACCTGAGGGGCTGCCACCAGCTCGTTCAACAGTATTACCAACAGGCGAAAAGGACCCCTGCGCAACGGAAAGCGAGGAGGGCACGAAACCGGATTCATCCCAGAAAGAAACAGGGAGATCAGCAATCTCCGCCAACATCTGATCAAAGTTCGGATGATCGGCAGTAGCAGCAAGCTGCTCGAGGTCGAGAGCAGAAGGGAAAGCCTGCTCTGGGGATGTTTGCTTTTCATCGAGAATTTGAAGGAGTTCAGCATCATGTTCCGACATTTTGAAACCCTTTTGTTTTAGGAAGGACATTTGTTTACGCAACCGACGTTGCCTAGACATTGCTTCCTGGTATTGTTTTTGTTTATTCAACAATTTTTGATGCAGCTCTGCGAGATGAGCTTGCAGTTCGCTTAACTCGGGTTCCAACAAATCGAGTTCACTTTCATTCGTTTCAAGATCCGAAGAAAGTTTGGTTTCGGCACGACGCAACAAATCCCATTCCCGACCAGTGTGAAAGTCACGCTTACATGAGCGACCCGCGCGAGTGCACGAGGCACATTTCGAATATTGACGAGAACGGTCCATCAGACAAGCAACACCTGCCGATTTACAATGATCGCAAGAGATGGAGGTGGTGAAACTGTTGTCCTCAATATAAGTCGCCTGACGATGATGAGCGTCAGAAGAATCGGAGGGAAGTTTGGGAGTGAGCAAAGAAACAGAGTCAGCCTTTCGTTTAGGCATGACGAGGAAGCATTATTTTGAGGAAAAGAAATCCATCACCTACCTGAGGGGGACACCGCAGCTTTATGAGTCTCGGGGACGAAACTCCTAGGAAGAGGGGAGGTGATGTTATGGACCTGTCCGTCACCAATCAGTGGTGACCCACCAGGCACACCAATGGGCCATCAAGAGCCAACCAGGATATCTGTCAGCAGATCACGTGCAAGCTCACTGAGCAAGAGCATGATCCGCCCTGAGCGGATCCACCCCGCAGAGGATTTCCGTTACATAGGTTACTCTACGTACCAGACAACCGCTGCACGCAGAAGACGGTTGGTCAGCATCACGTGATCATGCAGGTAGTAGAAGGGTAGCAAGTAGATCGGTAGAATCCGCCAAGGCGATTCTACTATTCTACCATCTACCATTCTACACAGGAAGAACTCAGAGATATATAAGGACACTCATTCATGTATCTAGTTTAGTTCTTCGTCTTCAATTATACATTGTTACTTGTGTTTACCTTTTGGATTACTGTGACTCTTTACTTGATTATAACTTGACAACACTCACGAGCAGACCAATACCCCGGTATAGATCTACTCGGCGCTCTACCTGGCATCAGTTCCTTGATCGCTCAAAAGGACTTAGGCTACTATAAGGCCCTGCGTGGCATTAGCTCAGTTGAGACCCGATCATTGACGTTGGACCATTCGAGGAGTATTAAGGCAAGTATACCCTGAACCCATCTAACCTAACTGTGACCAGTTAGCTAGTGCGTAACAGTATACGGTAGAGAGTCTAAGCTTAATACCTATCTAGTCCGTAAAAGACTTCTATATATTCGATATAAATAGCTTGTCTCTATCCGATATAATCTTACTCGGCATCCTATAGTTCGTAACTATATATCGAAGTATAATATTCGCTATTTAATTAGTATCGATGGTTTCTATAGTCGGAATCATATAAGCGTACTTAGTAAGCCTATCGACTATAACTATAATTATATCGTATCCGTCTAAGATTAGTAACTTCGTAATAAAGTCTATCGTGATCTATTCCTACGGTTAGGTTAGTATCTTAGATAACTATAATTCTCCTCTATAAGAATTTCGTTTTGCTATTTGGCTGCCTTTTTCGGCCGCAGGTGAGGCCGAAAATGGCCGTCTTTCAGCAACCTCCCTCCGCCACGCTCCCGCCTCCTTCGACCACGCACCACACCACTCACCACTTCATGCCTCAGGCTGCGATTCCGTGCGCGCTGACATCCTTGATTCCCTGAGGGCTCATTAGTAGCTCCACCACGCCTACTGGGGAGGGGGGCGCCAAAAATGGCCTCCTTCAGCACCATGCCAGCTGCACTCTGGCCAGCTCCCAGCCGCCATGGCTATAAATATCCCCTTCCCACCCATTCTCCGTCCAACACTGTCCTCATTTCGACTCAAAACACCACTCCAAAAATCTCCCTCTGATCTTCCGTCGTGCTTTCTTCTACTCAGTCGGTAGTTCCTTCGCACGCTCGGCGAAATTGATTAGCCATGTATCGTCGGATGACGCCCAATACCGGTAACCACGGAATCACGAGCGAATCCTCTTGTACCTCTCCCATCGATACCGACAATGATAGACCGTTCGAGCCCGATTCCTCTGAGACTGATCTCACCGAGCCGGAGCGCTCCCCTCTAGCGGGTCGAACGATTGTTCGGAAGAAGCCAAGCCCAAAGACTGGAACAAAATCCTTACTAACAGACCTGTCGAATGTGGAACGTGTCCACCAGGCCCGATACCAAGTGCCCGATGATGACACGGATGAGGACCTGGCCTAAGTACCGGAGGATTACGGCCGATCCAACAAAACAAAGAAGTTGAAACTTCGACTGAAAGAGCGTTGGGCTTGGTAAGTGATCAGGATATCGTTGAAAGCTTATACTATGTTAATATTAACTGACCGACTTGCCTCATTTCAGGTACTGCCAAATGAAAGCAATGGAACAATCCACTAATCATAAGTGGGGGGTTGCAGAGGATGTACTGCGTGAGGCGTTACCAAATGACATGTATCGATTTCTCAATTGGTGTCTGAAGCTGAAGTACAGTCCCGATGGTCGCCGCCAGAAAGGCTATAGAAAGGCCAGCGCCCTTGAAGCGGATTGGAAGTACTTCCGAATTTACTACTAGCGAGTTACTAAAACCGAGATGAGTGAAGAGATGGGCGAGGCCGTTTGTACGGTTTGTTTCGACCTCCCTCCTAGTCGTCTGTAGGAGGCTTGCGCTAACGAAGATTGATAGGGCATGAGATACTTGGTGGATAAGCGCGGTCTGGATAGACAACCGCGCGTAAATGTCCCAGTATATATCGAAGATATGATTCCATTCAATGAGACAATCCTTCAAACACGGGAGAAGCGATTCCACCTGGGGTTTCAGCGCATTATCCTATGTCTATACAACACTATTGGGTTATTTACCATCAACCGAAAACAGGCAATGCTTGACCTTCAGTTCAAGCATCTACAAATATCGCTCCAGCAGGATCCGCACGGAGGACCTCCCAAGCCGATGATCGAACTCGAGCCCCAGTTTGTGAAAAGCGTCCTGGGCATGTCGAAGCTGTAGGTGGCACCTGAGTCACATTTGTTTGCTACAATCAGACTGACTGATCGATATTACTTAGCAACACGTTCGCGCTACCTGAGATTGTCTACGGCGTATCGCTTGTCTTCAGCCCGCATGTCCTACTCTTCATTATATTATTTTATGTCCACGCCTTTGAAGCGCCTCACTTAACATCGATGGAAGACCTTCGGAGACTGCTTGTCGAGGGTGGTCGACAGGAAATGCTACTTCCCTTGAAGAAAGAGATGGATAATTACTATATCTTCCCGAAGGTTGAGGTGATCTGTGGCCAGCCCCGTATTTTGTGGGAGACACCTATGAATGGTAGCACACTCGACGTACAACTCAGGACATCCAGTGAGATACACGGCTTCCTTAATCATTTCTTCTCTCACCAATTCCGATACGGAGGAGGTGATTTACTTGATAAGAGTGGTGAGTGGACTATAAATACCTAAGGTTCTGATTTTCTCTAGATAAGCGGGCTAACTCTTCTGCCTAGGTTTTGTCAGTGAAGCACAGCGTAATGTGATCATGGCCCACGCCACTAGTAGAACGTTTATCAAATATTATCGTCCCCGTCGACATACTGGCTTATAAGAGATCATGTGTGGCCTCAATCCAGACGAAGAGTTCTCAAAGGCTGTGACCTGGATGAGCCGTTGGATTGATCGGCGGCGACCACGATACCTGAGCGACGCTGACTGGGAATCAGTGGAGAAAGACCTAGAACTGCAATCAGCCATACGCTGGCAACTCGATTTAGAGACCCAGTGCGTTGATCGCTCTCAAAACCCAGTATTGCGAGCGATGCTGGAGGACCAGAAGCGACATGTCCACAATTTGCGCCGGCGTCTGTAAGACAAACGGCGGAAAGAAACACGCCGCGATTTCAGTCGGAAATAGGTAGTGATTGACATTGAAAGACAGCTCACTGGTGGGGCTGTTAGTGATGAGCCTGCGCGCGAGGTATTACGGAAGGAGTTTGAAATGCCATCGGAGCAGATTCTTCTCGTGGAGACGTTCTTTACTTGGCCTACTACCGATTCATTAGAAGACGAATGGACGCGGCGTAACAAAGCTGTTGCTGCTGGAATACAATACTGTGGCTTTTAGGAGGGTGGGCCCCTTCGGGGACGACGGAAGCGCTCTGTACCGTCCGATAATGACGATGCAGTTCCCTCTCCGCCAGCTCGAAAGATAAAACCTGATACGCCGCCGACTACGTCGTGGGAAAATGAATGTACCACTGGCCAGGAGTATATCCCGAATACAGAGCAAACATTCGCATGCTTCTAATGCCCTAAGATATACTCCGACTATAATGGAGTGAAGAGGTATTTTAGGACATCCCATTTGACGGACCGGACATGTAATTTCTGCGATTTGTCCGTCCTGCACGAGATGTACTTGCGGAGGCATGCCGAGGATGTCCATGGCCTTCGAATATGAGCGTCAGATTCTACTCTTCCGATCTTCGAGGGCCTTGCGCCATTTCTTTATTTCTCTACTGGGATACACTTGGCGGAGCTATAGCTGGTGACTATCGAACCCTCTGCTAGTGCGCCTTTTCGTCTCTGATTCCGCGTACCTCCTTCTAATCTGCAAAGTGCTAGTATACCCTTAACGCTGCATATCCCTCTCCCGCCGCCCTACCTGAGGGTATATTGCACAGCCCTGGCTTTATAGAATGGCTCCTAGTTGCCTGGCCAAACGCCCACATATCGTCATCGTCGGTCTCTCCGGTCCCTGTCCACCCAGTCGGTGAAAACTCGAAATCATAGCTCGGTTATGTGGGCCAATAGAAAATGCCGCATACGCACTGGACCTTGGTCGATGCTGCATTTTGTGGTTAATGCGAGACTGTAACTACGGGACTTTTTTCCTAGCGAACCATAACTTGTTATGGGCTGTGAAACTGGCATGGTCTAGCGTCCTCGACTGCAATGGGTTGAGATTGTCTACTTTTGGTGGCAGAACGATTCTATCTTCCGGGCCTCCGTCGTCGTCTATAAAAGATATTAATCACTTTCAAATTCTCCTCTTCGCCTGTTCCGTATTCTCTGCCAGTTTATTTGGTTTATGAGTGCCCACAGTCATTATATCCCAAAGAGTCTTTAGCCGTCTCTTCACAATATGTTAAGCGTGACTTTTCCCTTGTATTTTTTTCGGCCACGGAGTTGCGCATGATGCCTCACCCGATTGGACGCTGATCCTTATGCTAAGTAGCCCTTCGGAGATGCTGACTCCTTCCTATTGGCTGTTGAGAGGTATATCATACTGCGCTTAAAGTAGATAATCTGAGAGTGATTCTACGTATAGTTCAATTCGAATATTCATAATGAAATTTTCTCCATGATTATCCCGATGTAGGATTTACTAGCGGGTTTTTTGTGGTGCGTGCCAATCCGGTGCACAAAAGTAATGGATGAAAGTGCTCTTTCCTACTTTATACTAAGGAGAGCTTCGCTGATATCAAAACTAATATCACTAAATCCTAGATTCTGGCTAAAGAAAAGAGCTTAAAGGAGGTAAGTAACACAATGCTGGGTTTCGTAGAATGATTTCTAGCATTTTCGCGCTTCTGTTAACTGCATTTTCTGCCGCGACAAGTGTAGCTTCACTCAAGTCCTGGTGGTTTTCAGTATGGCGTATAATCCAGCTCGCCCTAAGAATGCAATTGGGTGTTGCGGCGAACCGTATTACAAATGTCTAATCTTCCCCATTTAGCATATTTGTTCGCATCAAAAGTTAGATATTCCCGGGAGGTATGCTGTTATCCTTATCGTCCTTATACGGCTAGTTTCGCCAATATAACTCCCGCTGGTCCACTTCTGCTTGCCGAACCATTTCTATACGAAAGCTTCGATTGCCCTCCACCGCCCTCTCAAAGTTGTCTGGCTCGGTACCGCCTTCTAGATCTATATCGAGGTGTTCTCGAACCTGGGACAATAGCTGTTCAGACTCATTCTATTCTTGCGATTCTATTATAGCAGTCTCTCGTTCTTTATCGCTAAACACAACTGGACAAGCGGCTGAGGAGATGCTGCTCTATACCGATGGAGTTGTGATACCTACTAAGGCAGCACGTAAGTTGATTACGTCTGCGTCCTAGGGATACCCTGTCTGGCGAAGGAGATACTGCCGTATTCCGAGATGAGGAAGTCTCAACAAATCCATATGTTCCTCATTGTGTACGCCTGTCGCGGCTGTGTAGTAAAGATTGGCCTCTTCCAAGCGAAAGACGGTTCTGCATTGTCTTTGTTGTTCGATTCCTATCTCGTCGAAATCATCGGGAAGAGATGGAATATGCATACTTTGAGGTTGGGAGGAATCGTGCTCATAGAATGCAGGATAACCCACTTGTATGAAGCGGGGGAATATCACAGCATCCTGCTAATCGATGATACTGATGATTTTGGTTGATCTAGGTGCCAACAAAATGTTGCTTAGACTCAAATCGGGGTGTCTTAGCGTCGGAACGCTGTAAGAACCCGGCCGGATTATATGAGGCGCTAATTGTAGGAATCGCGAAAGTAACGAGGTGTGCTTAGAGGGAAGAATGTCCTGGTTAGTCGGTAAAAGAAAAGTTTGGCGGGGCTGAGCTTTGGCGTGGTGCTGAATGACAGCCATCTCTCGGCGAGCCGCGGACGTAACGCAGTCCTTAGGTGAAAGCCCTAACAATAATCAGTCCCGGTCATGGGGATTACTTTTCTAAAACCCGAAAACAGAGGGGGAAGGGGGAAAGGGAGGAACGTATAGGGTCTATGGTCAATTTCGGGTTTGCTTCGTTCACCATGCCAAAACTGCCGAGCAGACATAGGGCCGATATAGAAATCCTCCACGATCGGTACCTGGGTTTCCCCGTTAAGGTCCTTCTTGTGATATAAGCTTCCATACGTAGGAAAATGGAAATCAAAAATCTTCCTCTCTATATCTGCGATTTGGGTCATGATATCTTTCGTCTCGTCGGTAGTGAGAGATAACCACCGTGAAGAAAGACTCTCTCCCTTCACTCGCTCCATCAAAATATATTCTGCTCCGATGGGATTGTCCGATGATGCTGAATAGGCCAAGACCTCCGGTACCGGAAGTTTGAGGATAGATCGCAAAAAGTTCATGGTAGCTACCTTACTGGCGGTTGTATAATGAGGAGGCCCGGCAATGGGAGTCGGAATTCGCGCGATCACTTCACGGCCATTTTTTGCTCGCAGAAGAAACACTTTATTGAAGCCTCCCTCTGTAAACTTAGTAATGTAAGGGCAATAGTTTTGTTGTACTGCTTCGCTAGCGATCCGTTGGAGCTCTGTTGGTCGAAACTTGACGTATCGTTCGTTTAAACGGTTGGTCTCGTTGAATCTAGCTAAATTTAGTGGTTACGACCAGAGCGGCAATAAGCTTCACCTACATCCATCGTCGTGATGTATTTTGAAAGAATTCCTTACGGAATGCTGGTGGACTGGTGGATAGGTGATTGCGGGAGGAAGTAGATATGGTAGGCTGTCTGGAACAGACCAAGTGTTTCCGTAGATAGGGAGCGGATGATATACTTCGAGTAATGGCGAGTCTCTGGAAGGAATTCACCATTGTTCAAAAACAATAGTAGGGAAAAAAATTCAGTCACGGAGATGTTGCCTGATGAAGGTTCACTTTATCAGTTGACGCCGTGGAAGCTTGCTAGGAATCGAGGTAAGCTCCATGGCAGCTAACAACAGTCACGTGATGCCCGAGACTGCTCTGGGACCTCGCCTATGAGTTTACCCACCAGCCGCTGAGCACCTATGTACCGGTATATTACAGCATTATATCGGTAATTTACTTAGTAACATATATAACAGTATATCGTATTGTATATTCTATTGTTATTTAATTTTTGGTGGAATGGAAAACTGCGCTATAGTATATCGCGACACGTTCTGATCTAGGAGATGCTGTGTCGATATTGCGCAAAGACTTTTTTGGCTACGCGTCTGACGCAACTGTTACTAAAGTGACACTCGATGAGAATATTATCGATCGAAACACCATCTCCTGGGAATACCGTCGTCTGGAATACTGTCAAATGATATGCGGGACCCATATGGCCCATCTGGGTTCCGTTCCCCTGAACGAGAGAAAGGCTCTTTCTTTTCCTTCCTTGTGTGTACTGTATGTGACATCGTGACGGCCGGGAATACTCTCGTCTTTTGGATTACCCCTTTTGGGATATTGTATGATCTGAATTTATATTGTCTAGGATACATCGATTAGGGAGCTGTATAAGACCTGAGGCCGTGAGAAGCCTAAGGAATAAATCGAATCAAACTCCCTACTTGTCGTAGTGATCTATTATTAGAACGTTTCATTCTGCTTGTATATCGACATAATTTGGCTAGACTGAAGTGTAATCTATATATATTCTTCTATATAAAAAAAAGTCTAGCTTATAAACGACACTTCAATTTAGGCGACATTGCATAGGTAAAAATAATGAAAACAGGAAGGAAAGGGAGAGGCGCTGAGTAAAGGTACCATAATACCATTCATATTCCAATCACGTGGTCAGAATGCATATCGTGACCAGGCCCACAAGAGTTGACTGTTGAGACCTAGGTAGGTACCTTAGAGTTTGTTTGCTGCCGTTCTCAGGATTTCCTCGAACTCCTCCTTGGTGGCGTCTTCTGGTACCTCAAGTGTCTGAATCACTGCGTGCGATCCATTCTTTCTAATCTAGTCCTTGATTGACTTTGACTTAGCTTGCGCAGCTGCTTGCCACTTGATAATATTGCTGGTTCGGGTAGTACCTGGTTTCGCATTGGGTCTATTGTCGGGCACCTGACGGGTGTGGTCGCTAAGGTCGAAATGAAACCCAATATTTTTCAAGTCCCGTTGAGAAGTCGGGAATATAGTCTTGCTAGCCCCAACGGTCGGTCTCGTAAACTTTTGAAAAGTAACATCGATTTTTTGCGGATTCAAGATGGCATCGACCGCCTTCTTTCTAGAATTCTTTAGCCCAGACATAGCTCGTAGACTAGGTTGGTTAGCCCTGCTTGCTTAATTGAATGGAAAGAATTTCTCTCCTGCAATGGGACTTACCTTAGCCAGAAAGTGATATGTAATAAGGTAAGGAATTTCGGGGTACTTCAAGGACTGACTGCCAGAAACCTACTGAATCCTTAATCTAAGAGGGTGAACAAGCGCTATTTTATATCTCTTTCGGTATCTATGTCCTAATACCATTAGGAATATAAAATACGGAAAAGGACCACTTGGATATGCAGCTCAACTAGGCTATGCGAGCGTCTAGCGTCTTTTGTCTCCGGCTCATAACGGAATCGACCATCAGAACCTTTTACATGGAGCAAAAGCTTTTCTGCCGCCTGGGGTTCGTCGATGAAGATACCCCTAAAATAGAATGGCGCCGAGAATAATGGGTAATTGTGATAGAATATATTGGCATGCATATGTAATGCAGGTGAAACTTCCATGCAGCGTAGATTGCATTACACGGCGAGACGCGCTATATGAACGAAACCTCTGGTGGTTTTGCCGCTGTGAAATGCATTTGTTGAACGAGTTGCTACGTATGACGACCAATTAGTGAATCAGTAGCCGCCCAAATCCAGCTTAGATGGTGAAGCGGGACAGCTGTTGAAGTTGTGCATTATGTGTCAAGAATTTCTATTGGATCTCTGTCTCGGATCTAAGGAGCAAACAGACTAGAACTAGGTACGGGCAGCTTAAAATGAATTTCTCGATTCTGGGCTTCGTCTATTGCAATTGAAAGAAGATGTTAAAGATACTTATGAGGCTGCGTGGCTACTTTCAATAGGGTGAAAAGAATATATCTATAGAGCAAATATATAGAACTGAATTTCAACTTTAGATTGTGAGAGACTGAGAGCATCATGGTGGGGTTAAATTATATGTCACGTGATCCATTCCGTTGTGCCCAACCCCGCCTCCTCGTTGACAGAAGTGTAAGGATCGTTTCGATTATCTCGACCCAAAAAAAGCAGTCGAGTAATACATTATATGCGCATTCAATAGCTGCTAGTGGCTGTTCAATGAATGGACCCATGGCCTACCTCCGACCGGCTGCGAAAAAGCCTGACTAGGATCCTTGCGACAAATTGAGGAACTGGCTGCTAAAGGCAGAATTTTCAGCGAAGGACGATGCGCCTCATATGAGGTTATGTCGAAACGTTCCAGCGGATTTTCTTAGGCCTTTCCAGAAGGAGGTGTGGAACTTGTATTATTAATTCCCCTTTATGTCGTATGCAGCTGACCTTTGGCCAGAATATGAAAACCAGTTTGATACAATTTGCGAACGGAGCATCTCCGCGGGAACCCTATGGTACTCTTATAGCGATACTCTTACACGAAGGCAATGCAAACGTGTCTCTTGTCAATCACGACGCAAACATTCTACTAGCGAGCGGTGACTCGATAGAATGGAGTGGATTGATAGAGATTCTGAATTCGTGTGTCTGTGTGGTGACCTGGAGCAAAGAGACTATCTGACAGCCTCTTCCGTGAGATGGGGCCATTGTTTAGGTGAGGGAATACCTGTTATTTGGGAGAAGGATGGTATACAATAGTCAAATGGAGTAGATGGAAGCGCTGCCGTTTCTTGAGGAGCTGAAAAGCCGGAATGCGGCAATATAGGTATCTCAGATATGGCATTGAAGGATGGAAGGGAATAAGAAAATGTTTCTATATCTGCAAAATCCGGAGGACCCGTCAAATACAGATGGCGTGAATCTGTATGTTTTTAGCCGTTGAGATATTGACCAGCCAACAATCAGTGACTTATATGAGTTATCTTGTTGGATTTGGGGAAGCGAGTATGCTATCTGATGTCCCTGGACTGCACATTGCAGATCTGGACTAGCAGGCAGAACTCGCTGGTCTCGTGTCACTTGCCGTTGGGAACCCTTAGAGCTTGGATTTCTGTTTAAGGTAGCTCTTCCCTGGTCTGTGGGAGTCAGCATCATGTTGATGGATCTTATTGCCTGGGAGGCTCACCGGATGGATTTGGAGGGGAATGGATTATTTGGGCTGCCCGATTGACATTATGTGTAATTGTCTGTGACTGAACATGTGGTAAAGTACTTGCCGAACTTGTTGTCATCTCTCCCATGCTCTATGTTGACTGGATCGTGCCTGGCTGATTGCGACTGGCGTCAAATTGGCGTGTTCTTTGATCTTGATGTAAAACTGAGTAAGTTGTTTTAATCGTAGTCACCGAAAGCCAGGAAGGACCCACCAGTTGAGTTGCCACCAAATCCGTGTGATCCGTCCAAGTACTTATTAGTCCGGGAAGGCTGATGTGTCTCGGGTATTAACGGCTCGTCTAAATTCCCGCTGAATACTATTTGACTTCTATCTTCGTTGCTCGTTGAAATATGATGATCGAGTCCGTTTGAAGGCAAAACTTGTTCTGCTTGGGTTGTGTTGGCTTTCGGTGGCCTATTCTTTTCTATCTGTGCCTCAGATTGGTAGAGAGTGTCCCGTATAACCAGACAATTCGCTCTACAGTAAGATTCGAAATCCGACTGCAAACTTTCTGACCACGCCGCAGCTTTTTTTGCGGAATGAAAAGAAGATCGCAACGAGCCATGGCTATGTGTATAATCTCTAGAGCCGGGATGAGCGTCTTTCGGAATGAGGAAATCGATGAGTTGAGGCAATTGTTCAACTGTCAGCAACTGGAATTGATAAAATTCGAAAACAGCTACTATAGAAAATAGGCCTCTAGTGACCTCCTTTGGAGCAGAATCCCCTAGGGCTTCCTCTATTAAGCGCTTAAACAACAATTGAATTGTTCCTTGACAAAGCGCTTTGTTAGCCACACTGCGATCTGTGTCGCAATAGCTAATATCCCTTAGATACCGAGAGATTTTACCTTGCCGTTTCTTGGATTTTTGTACTTCTGATCCATAGATTTGAGAGTAAAGTTGATCAACTCTGGTAGACCAGCCTCTTGCGCGCTCCTATGCCGTGAATTCTCGAGCAAGTGAGACCTGATATAGTCCTTTTAAGAGTTTTTCTATTTCGTTGGGGGTCTTGTTCCCATTAATTCGCTTGATGTGATCTAGGCGCTTGTAGAAGCTTCCTCGGCCCTGAACATTGTCCAACAATTCAGAGAGCGACACTGTATCTTGAGAAAATTTCACGAACTTTGGAAGGTTTTTCTCTATAGCTTGCAATAGCTTGGCAAGTCGAGCCTCTGGGGCTGATTCTCTTTTGCGCTTTCTTGGATTGACTTGAGCCAAGGCGTCGAGAGTTTTAGGGTCAGTATCATGATTTCTCTCGGTCTTAGTAGTCCTCGGTATTTCAGTCTGGTCGGCGGCAGTATGTAACCGGTCCTCAAAAACAGTCGCTGGGGAGTAGGAGGGCTCTCCGACCTGGCGAGAAGAGTGGCTCTCGAGGTTTTTATTGTTATAAAAGGGCAACGGCTCTGTTTGTATGTTGGAGCTTGTTGTGTTGTTATTGTGAGATTTGACGGCGAGAACGGATCTGATCTGTTCTAACGTTTGGAGCGTGAGGTCACGATGGGCCTGGAGTATTTCCTTCGAAGAGTTGAGAAGAACCCGCAAAGCCGATATGGTTTCAGCTTTAGAAACAGACATTTTCATTAGAGCGAGGTTCCAAGTTGGGGGTTTAGGGAGTGAGGTTCCACGGGGCTAACGATAAGGGAGAACACCTGGTTTTGGAGAGTGAGAAGAGCAATAAGGGGCATATGCTTCGACGAGCTAATGAATGCGTAGATTGTTAGATCGTGTTCTAACAGCCTACGCATTCATTGGCCACTGGCTTCGCGGGAACATATGCCTAGTCGTAAGTTTGGATTGATCGGCGACTCCTGGGCCTTTCCCCGCTTTAGCGCTTTGGCCTTGGTTTCGGAGGCTTGAGACCGACCAAAAGAATGGATATGTCAAAGAGAGTCCACCAATTATTTTCGATAGTTAACTACTCCAGTCCTGATATGGCTGGGTACGAAGGATTTGAGCAAAATATTTCGAGCCTCGCTCAAATTGTTAGAAGGATTAATTTTGAAATTTTTGACTGAATGTGACTTTCTCTGTCCTAGATCTGCAATCAGTGGTATGTGCAAATGAAATGACAAGTCTACCCGGGTATTATGATATAACGAGACTACTGTTTCTCAAACTTATCCGAATATCTGACTGAGATTTCATGACAGCGAGACTATGATCTGCTTGAGCCTATATAGAGTTCGTTGTATACTTTTGGGCTGTATTCCTCGTCTCTTTACCTCCCTATATGGCTCGCGCGAGACTTTATTCGGAGGTCCAGTTCCCAATCGAGAGTTTATGTATGAATCTGCGAGCGACCCTATGCCTATGATGTCGAAAGAACAGCCTACCTTTTCTGCTGATTCTGGCTCTGGTGTGTCTGCTAGAGACTCTGTACCGATTCGCTTGCGCGTGGGTTACCCATTCCTCCTCGTTGACACCGAGTTCTAACTAAATAAGACCGTGCGAGTTTGGTTTTCTCTTAATGATATTGAACCTATGGAAGATATCAAAAAGAGGGGCCTTGAAGACGTGGTTGTTGATGCCATTACTTTTCAAGAGCTTGGCACTCAGCATCAAGCCCACGGTGACCATGGAACCACGAAGGAAGCATTCCTAGTGGATCTTGCGGTACTTGAGACTGGTATTATACGCGTCGTGGGGAAGTATGGGATTATAAAATTCGTTCCTCTGAGCAGCGAGGATCCGATTATTTCGCAATAACCGGCAGAAGATCTCAACTCAAAGAAAGCTCTTGGCTACCAATACCTACACTCCAAATACTCATAGGAGTACGTAAAAAGGCAGCGCCTTACCAAATGTTTGGGTGTTGAGATGGACAAAGTTTGGACGGACTGGTATGATGACTATCTTAGAGAAATTGGTAACCGCCTTAGAAAGCTCGGTTACTGTTGATCAAAGCAAATATAATATAACTTATGGTTTGCTCTTATATTGATCATAGGAAAAGCCTTAATCTAGAACAAATAAAAAGTCAAAGTTCGAATGGACCGTTTTACACATAATGCTTCGGTATCGATCTTAAAGTATTCCCCACACTTGACTATCATGGGGCGGTCTTAAGAAAGTAACCAAGCCCTCTGATGCTTTAGAAGATGAAGCATTAAAATTCTAAGTCATCAGTGCCAGTATTAGAACAGCACCATAACTAAGATGTTGTAAAATGTCTCTTACGTAGACGCGTAAGTCATTCTCGAGAGAAAAGCCTTTATCGAGATGTGGTTCCCGGGATCTTCTACTTCTTAAAGCCGTGCAGATATCTAGCAGTATCCTAGCATCTGGGCTAGGGTTTTCCGAATTAGTCCATTCCTAGACTAACGGAGATTCAATTATCAAAGAGAGCATTGCTTTTAAAGCAATTTCTGCTGGCCTATATAGGAATTGGACGGGAATCGGGGAACGCTTCTAAGGTGAGCATATCATCGCTATAAGCGAGAGGCGAGGGTACTCACCATAGCTAGATCTTTGTTTCGATAATAAGGTACGATAAATGGCGCCTTGGAAAGTAGAAATAGGTACCTTGATAACCTGATAGACTTGAACTAAAAAACATAGCTGATACTTGAAGCCTTCCATCTCTATTGATGTTTTTACTATATATTATTCTATACTACTCGAAGCTGGCTGTCTAACTAGCCTTATGCACTGCCTTTCTTCTGCACCGCTCCGGTCTCTTCTTCCGAAGTGGATATAATCCTTCTGGTTCCTATCAGGAGAGAGAGAACGCCTGGATCAAACTATCCCTAATGTTTTCAGCCCTTATACGGGAACTGAACTAGCGGTATATAAGCTTCAAAATTCGGAAGTTGCATATAACGTCATAAAGCCTCTACCAGTTTGCATTTCAGATCAAACAGAGAGACTGCCACGGATATGCACTCTATTAAAATATTATCTTTGTGAGTTTTCTAACGAAGTGCGAGCTTTTCCATATGATTTTCTCACACTTAATTGCTAGCAAACCAACCCTAAGCCATCTCCATAGAATCTAATGATAACGAAGACTATGAAACTATCTCTATAGAGTCGGATGACAACGAAGACCGTGAAACCATCTCCATAGAGTCTGATGATAACGAAGACTGGGAAACTATCTCTATAGAGTCCGACGACAACGAAGACTGGGAAACCATCTCTATAGAGTCTGATGATAACGAAGACCGTAAAACCATTGAGCTTCCTGATATTAAGTCCGTCAATGGTAAGATTATTTGCGTGGAAGAGGAATACCTATCCCTTGAATGGTCAACTATACGTTTGAAAAACAAAAGACTGGCTGTGATCATGTTGTCAAATATTAGTCAGGGATCGAGTCTTTAGTAAGTGCTCTTCTTTATTCTTAGGCTTGTCGCAGTATCTAATTTTCGATAGCTAGGGCCTCTAGATATTGACCGATAGGCCAGTGTTGAAATGATTCCGGCACTTTCGCGGTATAATCATAGGTTATATGGCTAACGCTTATGGCTAAATTCATAAATCCTGATACAAATTCATAATGAAATGTTTCAAGATATTCTGTCTATTACCCTTTGAATTGGATGCCTATTCTTCGAGTTTGAGTATATGTAGGATGGAATGGAAACCTATAGCTCTATTATTGGCGTTTCTGCAAATTCTTCTACCCTTATGAGGGACTTTAATAAAGTGATTTTCCCAACATAATGAAATATACTTAGCAGGTCATTGACCCTTTGACAGTCCCTGATCCCTTTTAGTTACTGCTATTCCAAGGTGGAGAAAGAAGTAGCAGCTGGCCAATGACATAAGGGCGCAGTATAGGAATATAATTGGCTCAACAAATCCAATCATCGTAAATTAAACATTCTTATCAATCTTTTCGGTTTGGAGGCTATTTATTTTGGCAAGATCGATGGCGGTAGGCGATTAGTGAAGCAATCAAATAATGGCCTTGCATTTTACTCTGTTCTTAGCCCCTACGAAATCCACCATTTCGCAGGGGCTTTTGAGCTTTACACAGTATCCTAGGAAGCTATATATATCAGCTTGTGGAATTAAAACTATTTTTGTAACATAACAGCTCGTCAAAGCCATTATGGAATGTCAAACATTTCTAGGATGCGAATAGGGTAAGTACCTATTCAAGTATATAAAGATAAAGACCTCTCCTAGCAATCTCCGAAAGAAAAGCAAGTATCAGATTAACAAAAATGGAGTTTCCTCTTCGTGGTACGCTCTTCAAACCACCATGGTATCATTATAAAGCTAACCTAAGGACCCTTAGATCCTGATACTGATATATCCTTACAAAAATTTAGACGAATAGGGCCGTATATTTATGACGTTCCATATGGTTAGAAAGAGTGTACCTGCTAGGCGAGGCTATATCAGCTAATAACTTATAGACTTTATTATTAAGCTCGATATAACGAAGGGCGCTTGGTATGAGCCTATCGACGACAAGTTATGGCATCAGTACGCCGGAAGAGGCAGCACTACTACGAATTTTATACTTGATCGGATATACGAAGTCCTTCTAAACTCCGAGAGCTGTAACTATATTTGGGATCTATTCAAACAATCCAATTTTTCAATTTCCCAGAAGTCGGAGATAGAAGAAATGTGCTCGAAGAAGCTAGGTCTCTATCTAGTCCCTAGTGGTAAGAAGCGTGTTATGACTTTGTTAAATTAGAGCTAGAGGCTGATATGTAATAGACTTGATGATAATGCGCACGGATAGATAGGCCTCTATAGGAGGTTATTCTTATAAACTTATTTCGAAGGAATTATATAGCGGTTGTTAACGCCTCTTTGCGCCTGGCCGGGAACAACTTAGTTTTGCTGAGATATACGCGGGTCTATGGATTCTCGGTAAACAACCGATGTCTATATTCTAAGGAATGTCTGTCATCATGAGGAGCTGGCTTCAAAATCTGGAGTTTTCCATTACCGAGGAGGGGGTGTTGACTAAGCTTGTCTTACTACTAGGGCAGCGTGTCAAAACCTAGGGCATTGCTAATCTTGTGAAAACGCGGGTTGTCTAAGGCGAATATCATATGACTCAGCTTTTACGGAATGGAGACCATTGGGATGCCAAGTGCGAAATGTCGAGTTCTCCACAATATTGGCAGTAACTAAGGGGAACCCCACAGGAACTTTTCAATGCTTTATGTTGAAGGACGCCGTTTTGTCACCCCTCTATTTTCTTTGGCCACACGGAGAAAGCTTGGCACTTTATTTTCGGAGAGCATTAGAGCGGTAAATTACCTTTAGCAAGGACTGTTGTAGAGAAATTCGCTTTCCCATTTTAGGGGAACCCTTACGAACTAAAGCAGCTTTCTATCTTTTATCCGTCAATTGTCTCACGTAACTGATAGAAATTATTGTTACTCCATTTGGCCATAGAGTTGTGTCTCTTAAGAGAGCCGATCTTGGAATATCTCATAGATTAGACCATACATCCTGGCTATATATCTATGCACAAAGCTACACTAGGCTGCCTTTCTGTCCAAATACGCTTGTTTTTATCATGGTCAAGTAATCTCATTCGCGCACTTTTGCAAAGGTAGTAGCATCTATACTCACCTCCATTGAATGTAGTGCGAGAGCTAGCTATGTACCCTATCACATGAGCATGCCTCAAGCCCTTGAACAGTATTCAGAAAGCCGTAGCTATGTGCTTAAATGATAAGTCGACAGCTGATACTGCTCCGAAAAACTATGTGGGTATTCACCCACCGGGACATTTCGGTCACCAAATGGGCGTGGTAGTGATCAAACTACCTTTTCCTAATTTGGCATAAGTCTTGAGCATCTTATACACCCGGGCAAATTGGTGGCGTCGCCCCTAGAACTGTTTATTCACGGCATGAATATATAATACCCTTTCGTTCCTGCCTCTCTAAAGAACGCTATTGCTTCTATTTACTTTACTCCGACCCTCCCTTCGAGGGAACTTCCCACGATGCCTTCACCAACTGACAATACATTTGAAGGATATATATTTTACCGAGCGGACTCTTTTCTTTATAGTAAGCTAGACTGGCGTTTTGTGGAGAGGATTCTACTATAGATTAAATAACGAAAACTCGGCGAGATGGTCTATGACCGGGTAGCTCTCTATTCTCCTACGAAACAACAATAAGTTTTGAACGGCGACCGGCTTCGCCATATCAACTAACTTGTTATAGACCGGCGTGAGGATTATCCGGGACTCAATTGGACAGTGGCATACCTCAAAGAGAGCGTATGCACTTATGGAAGACGAGAGGTGATGGCACCTGACTACTAGCAACAATATGATATAGTCTCTATGGTGGTTATCCTCTTGGCAAGACCGAAGCAAGAGGGAAAATATGTCTAAGGGTATCTAGGAGACTTGGTAGACATCGTACGTGTTAGTAATAACAGCGGATACAGTATTGGCTATTCCAACGCTTCTAGCGTCGTTAGTGAATTTGGCGGAACGCAAGACACCCACTGCGTCTCAATATGGCTTGGAGACCTCAAATCGGAAAGATCTGACCTAGGCGAGTTCTCTTTAACCGAGAGGTAAGTAGGCTGGCCACTCGATAACCTGCGGTTTTATTCCGCCCACCCAGCTAGGCCAACAGTATGAGTCTTACATAGGTATTCTAACCATGGACTCTAGTGACAAAAATACTGTTAACAACAAGCGATCTCGGAATTCTACGGCTGGATCACCACCTCCTAAGAGGATTTGCCAAAGCGCCAGTCCTCGTTAG